AAAATCAAAAATTTTGGGATCTTAGCATTTCAGACTCACGGGATTCACTCTCAAAATGGCGAAAAATGTGGAAAATTTTCGAAATTTGAAAAAACGCGAACCCAAGGAATTAAATTCCAGACAAAGGGCTTAAAATCAAAAATTTTGTGATCTTAGCACCTCAAACGCACGGAATTCACTCTCAAAATGGCGAAAAATGTGGAAAATTTTCGAAATTTGAAAAAACGGGAACCCAAGGAATTAAATTCCAGAGAAAGGGCTTAAAATCAAAAATTTTGGGACTTTAGGGCTTCAAAAGCACAAAACTCAGTCCCAAAATGGCTTCAACGTGTGGAATTTTCGAAATTTGAAAAACGCGAAGCCAAGGCGTTAAATTTCAGAGAAAGGGCTTAAAGTCAAAAGCTTTGGGGTCTTAGCCTTTCTAACTCACGGGATTCACTCCCAAAACGACGAAAAACGTGGAAAATTATCGAAATTGGAAAAACGCGAAGCCAAGAGATTGAATCTCAAGGAAAGGGCTTAAAATCAAAAATTTTGGGACTTTAGCACTTCAAACGCACAGAATTCAATCCCAAAACGGCGACAAAATGTGGAAAATGTTCGAAATTTGAAAAATGCAAATCCATGAGACTGAATCTCAGGGAAAGGGCTGAAACTCAAAAACTTAGGGACTTTAGCGCTTCAAACGCACAAAATTCAATCCCAAAACGACAACAAAACGCGGAGAATTTTCGAAATTTGAAAAATGCAGATCCAAGGAGCTGAATCTCAGCGAAAGGGCTGAAAGTCGAAAAGCTTTGGGATCTTAGCCCTTGACTTCCAACGCACGAGATCCAATCCTAAAACGATGGCAAAACGTGGAAAATTTTCGAAATTTGAAAACGCGCATCGCTTACATCTTTGCCTTGCTTAGTTTCTTATTTAGGGGAGGAGGGGGATCCTAGTGGGAGGGATGTTATCGGACGCTCCAAGCTAGTACTAAGAGCAATAAAACTTTGCAAACACATCCCTTCGGAAACCTCAACCTCCAACACCCAAACCCAAAACCTCCAACACCCAAACCCAAAACCTCCAACACCAAAACCTCCAACACCAAAACCTCCAACACCAAAACCTCCAACATCAAAACCCAAAACCTCCGACACAAAAACAAACAAACCCCAAACCCCAAACCCATGAACCCATGAACCCAAGAACCCAAGAACCCAAGAACCCAAGAACCCAAGAACCCAAGAACCCAAGAACCCAAGAA